CCATATTGCTGCTTGACCCACCTGCCTGTCCTTTAGATGAACTCAGAAGGAGGAAGTTCAGAAACCTCCTCCCCTTAAAAGGTCCCTTTAGAAATAACAATTAATCAACTATTGTTTTACAAATGTTCTAACAGCAGGACGTTCTGCTTCTGTACCTTTTGCTTGCTTTACTAGTTCTATCCCATAGGGGGGCCTAGAAACTGTTGGCCTCAAAGGTATATAAAACATGTTTGTCTCCCCCCAGTCGGGGCTCGAGTCCGATGCTCGGCTAGGGTCCTGGCTGGTAATAAACTCCTGTGTGGATTTAATATCGGTCTCTGGTTGGTTCTCTCTCACTGGGTCTAACAGTACTAATAAAATAAAACTAAAAAAAAAAAATAAATTAAATCACCAAATCGAGTTGACATATCTTACTATATTTCTTGAGACAATCTCCTTTTTCTTTTTCTTTCCAAGCTCAGGTCTTCACATTCCCTAGACTACTGCAACAGTGTCAAATCCCCCTGACTTGAATCTGGGCCTGCTCCATCTTCCACCATAGCCACCTATTACGTTGTTATCACAATGGCAAATTGAAACTGTGGATCTGTCAAGTTTTTCAATCCTTCAGGACTGCTTGAGCCTAGGAGTTGTAAGCCAGCCTGGCCAACAGAGTGAGATCCTGTCTCAGGAAAACAAAACAAAACAAAGCAATGACTACACTTCAAAACCAAGTAAGTGTACAGTGTTTTACCAAGATAAGTTATAGGCAGGCATGGTGCCATTGGCCTGAAATTACTTGGGAGGCTGAGGCAGGAGGATCACCACAAGTTCAAGGTCAGCCAGGGCCACACAGTGAGTTCAAGGCCAGCCTGAACTACACAGCTAGACCCTATCTCAAAGTGACATTTTTTTTGGTACCAGGAATTGAACTCAGGACCCTGAGCTTGCCAGGCAATCGTAGTACCACTGAGCTAAATCCCTGGCCCTGAGTTCTTGTGCAAGGTCTTACATTCAATCCCTAGTACAAAAAAAAAAAAAAAAAATTTCTGTGATTTAATTGCACTTCACCTTTCTAAATTCATTTCTCACCTTGATCTTCACACTCACCAACTATCTGATTTGTTTGTTTTCTCTTATACCATGCAGCTTCTATGCCTTCATCGTTACTTTTGGTCACTTCAGTACCTTTAACCATACTGTCCTTTCCTTGGCTTTCTTTAACCTCAAGACTCAAATCAGGTACATGTCTTTAAGAATCAAGGTAGGATAATTCTTTCAAAACACAGCTAAAACGAACCGGTGATTTAGCTCAGTGGTTCCACTACCTGCCTTGCAAGCTCAAGGTCTCGAGTTTGATCCCCGGTACCAACACCCCCCCCCCCAAAAAAGAAAAAATATCCCAGCTACTTGGGAGACTGAGGCAGGATTGAAAGTTCAAAGCCAGGCCAGGGAATTTATCGAGATGCTCCCGTGCCTGCCTTGCAAGCTCAAGGTCTCGAGTTTGATCCCCGGTACCAACACCCCCCCCCCCCCAAAACAACAACAACAACACAGCTAAAATACTCTTTCTCTGAACTTCCATAATTTATGTACAGCCGAAATTTTTGTTTTATGTTAATTATGCGTACATGCATTTTCCTTAAAAAAACGAAAGCTCTTTGATGGTAGGAATCATCTTATATTCATATCTGTATCCTTGCCTTACTACAGTGCCTAGTATAGCACCAGTGACCAATTAATTGAACTGATGATCCTCGGCACCCATATGCAAACATAACAACCCAGAGCAAACAGGCAAGACCAAGTACTGTATTGGGGCTCAAATCCTAATTCTCTTTTCCAATTCGGGGGCGAGGCGCATTTTAAGAACAGTAAATGGAAAAATAAAAAAAGAACTATTAAGTGGTACAACTTCCAGGGGGAGCTTTCTTTCAGATTATCCTATCATCATGTCAGCCTACAGCAGGAGAGATGAACTTTTGGGCCTGTAGGCTACATTGGTCATTGCTGCGATTTGGGCAGGCGCCCGGGCGGCTGAAGGGAAGAAAAGATTCCTCTCTTCTCAAGACGTCTCTCATCACTTAGGAAACAAGTCCTCACTCCCAACCACTTCCCCTCGCGTTAAGCACTTCCAGCTGACACGACCCCTCACCTCGGGCTCCTTGGACACCGCAGAGGACACTCAGCCTCAAAACAGCCGCCATCTCGCTTTTGAAGCCTCAAGGTCATCCACCAACCCGGAAGTACAAATCCTACCCCGTGACGACAAAAGAAAATGCCGGGAGGAAACGCTAGGTGAGCCGGAAGTCAAGACGCGCCGCGCGTCTTTCGCGCATGCGCACACACGCTCTCCTGAAATACTAAACCTTTTTCTGACAATGGCGGATCTGGCTGAGGCGGACGAAGCGGACTTGCAGCGCCTGGTGGCGGCCGAACAGCAAAAGGCGCAGTTCACTGCACAGGTGCGCAGACGGGGATCAGCTCTTGCGAGCGGAGGGAAAGGAGAGTGAGGTACAGGTCCTGATACTGACAGAGCTCTCTGGAGGGGAGGGGAGGCAGACCGCTCTGTGCGCGATACTGGCTGCGTCCCGGTCCCCTTGCATGAGACGAGAGCTGGCCCTTCTGTTCTTTTTTTTTTTTTTGTATTAAATTCTTTTATTGGTACATTGTAGGTATACAACACAATTACATTTCTCATTGGAA